ATAAATACATCTCTTCAATGAATACTGATAAAAATATTTTTGTTTACAACATAAATTAATAATATGAAAATGTTTTGTAGTTAGATATATATATATAAGTAAAAATCATTGATAATATCAATGCACACGTACCGAAAAATTATGTTAAAGCATGCGGAAGAATATCTCAAAGAACGTTTTGTGAAAATACCGTCAAGGACCGGTAACTCTGTAATTGATTTTGCGGGAAAATATGAATGCCTACTCGTATCCAATCTTAGAAAAATCGAATTTTTACAGAAAAGTGTCCACCATGCACTTGCATTGCACTATTTTTAGAATAGTAGAATAGATTGATATACAAATGGATTCAAATCATATATATATGTAACTGTTATTTTAATATAATATAAACAACAACTCAGTGTATACTGATTTGTATCACTACAATATAATAGCTATTACGGTGAAGTTGAAGTCATCATCCACGCACGAACTTGTCTCAGAAAAAAATATATCTCTGTACATTAACCTCAGTTTTAGGTAAAGAGATATGTTGTTTTTTTCTGAGACAAGTGCTTTTGGCCATCCTCAAGAACTTGTGGTCATCCGATGTTCAGTACTTCAGTACTTTGATTTTTGTTACTATACCTCAGAACGTTTTCTTATGAATTTATTGATTAATAGCGTATTTGCTTAAGCGGAACAAACATTGAAGAGATCAATGTTTAAGCGTTTACAAGGGAGGTAATATTTTGACACTAGATTTCACACTGATATGGCTTTACAAATGGCATTCCTATTGTGTTCCATTTTTTAAAACTGGTCTTAGTATGACAAGTTCAGCTCCTGTTCAAAGAGGGAATAAGTGGAAACGATTATTTTTAAATCAATGTTACAATGATGCAAGAGTAAATTAATTTCTTGGTCGATTCTTTTTAGTATAGAATATAAAGACTTTCTTACTGTACAAGGTTCACACATTTTATATAGTTTACAAGAAATTTGTTTGTAACAGATGCAGTTTAATATCATCGTTCTTTCATGACAGGTCACCATGTAGTCCAATAAAACAGACAATACCATGAACAAAAAGAAAACCAACGTAAAGATAAAAGACAATAACAACAGTACACTGAAAACTTAAGATTGAGCAACACGAACACCACAAAAAACCAGAGTTATTTCAAGTGCTCTGAATGGTGAGTAGTTTCTGCTCCTTTAATGGCACCCATCGTGTTGTTCATGCAAGTAAAATTTCGGTGATAACTCTAATTCGGTAATGTAACAATCGAGGAATGAGGACGGGATTGTGGTTAAGACAAATGGACCATATACGTGGTCATCTGTGACACACATGTTCCATAAAGGTCAACAAAATCATAATAGCATTCATAGAACCTTTAAAGCGATGCATTCAAATTTACCCATTTGGAACCCTAGATGCAATAGCTTCCTTGTAAGCAGTAACCCTCTGTCAAGGAAATCATGTAGGAAAAGCCCTGTGTGGATGTTCATTCTGGAAAGTTCTCATTTGGACAATTGAAATCAGCTCTTTCTTCGTAAAGTTTTGATTTAAAACATAAACCGTATCAATTTTACTGCACCAGATGCGCATTTTGACAACTAATGTCTCTTTAGTGATTCTCGATATCAAAATATTTGAAAATCCAAAATCTAATACATATGTTGAAGGGTTGATCAAAGGACCTAAGTCAAATCTGGAAAGGAATCATGAGCTTTGCACGAGGGAGATATATTCCTTAATTCAAAATAACTTCTTTAACTTTATATTAGCACATATCAAATCGAACAATATCCGTATTTTCTTGCCAGTACCGAAGTACTGGCTACTGTGATGGTGATACCCTCGGGGAATAACAGCCTACCAGCAGAGGTATCGACCCAGTGATAGTAATAACATAAACGGTCCCAATTTTACTGCACCAAATACGCATTTCGACAATCAAATTATAGTTCCAACCGACTCTCACTGTAAATTTCTGGATGTAAGTCAATTTATGAAAAAGATTTAACTGTGTCTCGGGTATCCTTTATTTCATATTCATTGGGCTAGATACAGTCATCATAGTCCTCACCAAACGTTCTTTATAGCAGAAAGTGAATTTTAAGGCAGAGATTTACAATGACCTGTGATTGAACAGTTTTTTGTTTTGTACTTGTAAGTTTTTTTTTCAGTTTTAGTGGTTGTAAAGGGTTGCATCAGAAAGTGAATGAACATTGTCTCCGTTATTTTTAAGAATCAAACTCATATTGTTCTTCAGAAGACAAAATATTGCCTAACAATGACAGGTAACTTATTACCAATTGTTGTAACTTTATGACATCAAAGTAATTAATCTCAACATTTTGATACAGGTCAATTATTTTTTTGCTTAACATTAATTGACTTGTTGAAGTCATATTTTGTTTTTAAATAATAATAATAATAAAATTCTTTAGTTGACGAAGGTAACACATTTAACAATGACATGTTAATCTTCCATGAGGCCTTCAAATACTATTGATACAAATAGAAAAGACAAAAATACAAACAAAATAAAAATACATAATACAGTTATATATAGCAGCTTAAATATTGAATAAGTACATATGCATTCAATAGAACAAGATAAAATACATTAGAATCGGGCATCTTCATTCTGTACAGTTAGAAAATAATTTGAACATTTTATCTTAAATGTATCTAAATTATTTATTTCTTTAATATTATTCGGTAAATTATTCCAGGTAATAATACCAGAATATTTAAATGTTCTTTTTAAAAATTCAGAATTAGGTCTTGGTACATGAAGAAGTCTTGATGTTGTCGACCTGAGACACTAATTATAAAGATCAGTACAAGCAGTAAATTTAATAGATAGATAATCAGGTGCTAGACCATTCATACATTTAAACATTAACACAGCTTGAAAATATTGTATCCTCGTAAATATAGTCATCCATGCAAGCTTTTTAAACATTAATGTTGATGGAAAATCAAAAGAAACAGATAAAACTAATCTTGCAGCACGTTTTTGGAGCTTATGTATCCTCTCCAGATTACAGTTTGTGGTAAGACCCCATACTGTACAACAATAGTCAATAATGGGTAATATATAGCTATTGTAAAAAAGAATAAGACCCTTTAATGGTAAATAACGTTTCAACCTTTTTAACAGGTATATTCTGGTTGAAATAGTTTCGCATATTTTATCAATTTGATTTTACCATGATAGATTTTTATTAATATGAATTCCAAGAAGTTTTTCAACTTCAACATTATCTAAAGTGATATTATCTTGTGATAAAACACATAAACATTCATTGCAGCTTTCCAGTTTTCTGTCTGATCCAACAAGCATACATTTTGATATCTTGCTATTTATCATCATATCATTTTCTTTACACCATTTAATAACATTGTCTAAGTCTTTATTCAAACATAATTCTATATTTAAATTTACAATAGATTTAGATGACAAATACAAAGTTGTATCATCAGCATATAGATCAGATTAGTATATTCTAAGGTTAATGGTAAGTCATTGATATGAATAAGGAACAATAAAGGTCCAAGTATAGAACCTTGAGGAACTCCAAAAGTTACTGTAACAGTTTTATATTCTGAATCAGTGGTTCCTAACTTAACTTTTTGCATTCTCTGAGAGAGGTATGATGAAAACCATTTTACAGAGTGGTCATCACATTTGTATAATTTTAGTTTTGATAAAAGTATATTGTGATTTACTGTATCAAATGCCTTCTTAAAATCTAAAAAAAAGAATCGCGGTAAAAATTTCCATTGTCCAATTTCTCTAACCATTTATCAATTATTTTAATGAGTGCTGTATGTCAAGAATGTTTTTTCTCTAAATCCTGACTGCTGTTGTATTAATAATTTGTGTGTGGTTAAGAATAAATATAGTTGTTTAAAGACAGTTTTTTCAAATAACTTGGACACAGTGGGTAAAATTGAAATGGGTCGATAATTGTTTGGATCTGTTTTATCACCTCCTATAAATATGGGAGCAACTTTAGCAAATTTTAATATATTAGGAAATACTCCTGTACATAAACTAAGGTTTATTATGTGAGCAAGGGGGCTTGCTACAATCGATCTTGATAATTTTAAAATTCTTGGTCCAACTCCATCAGTTCCGGAGGGAACCATCAACATTAATGTTTAAAAATAAAGGGAGAGAACCCGTCTAACATGCAACTTAAGACCTCTACAAGTCAAAAGCAAAGTTAGACTTATTTATGTCTGATCATTGAGTGGTTATTTTCCTCTGTGAAATTGCATCCCATTGATATATTTGATATATGGACCAATACCAGCGGCATGTCTGTGTATACCTTTATATAGGAAGAGGACCCCCTACTTGTTGAAGTCATATTTTGTTTTAAAATAAAGGGAGATAACCCATGTAACATGCAACTTAAGACCTCTACAAGTCAAAAGCAAGGTTAGACTTATTTATGTCTGATCATTGAGTGGTTATTTTCCTAGATGTGAAATTGCATCCCATTTCGATATATTTGATATATGGACCCATACCAGCGGCATGTCTGTGTATACCATTATATCATTATATAGGAAGAGGACCCCTTAGCGTATTCACATCGGATTTATTATTAGTTACCCTGAAAGCTGATAAAAATGGATGTTAATAATTTGGAAAGAAGTTGTGTGGTGCATAATCCATCCTTTATTATGTATACACTATCACAAAGGAATAACTATAAAACCTTTAATCAGAATCAGAATCAGAATAATTTATTATAGTATCACATACCAATTTAAAACACAATAAATACAAAATAACATAATATGCAATTAAAAAAAAAAATTAATTAAATATTTAATACCGATCTAGAAATGAATAGTTTATATAACGAGTTCAATTTAACTCACAGAAACAAAATGAGCCAATTAAGGGTCCTGAATAAAAAAAATTGTAAATTGTAAAAATTATTTGGAGAGCTGCATGCCCCTAGATCAATTTAAAATTACAAACCTTTTTTATTCTTTCTATCAACACCCGTCGACTGCTGTTTAAACTGTTTGCATTTACACTCTTGCACAGTACACCTCGTAGACATTATTACGTGCTAATGTTGTCCTTCACCTGCAAAAAAAACAGAAAGCGAAAGTACAGTAATGGGTCATGTGATTTCCTTAAAATTGCATCTCAAAAAGTTTATTTATAATGAGGTTGTTAAAAGTGATGGTGGATGTGTATGCATTGGATTCGCATTGAAAAGAAAATAATTTGGTTGAAATTTTGACAATTTAAAATCATGTATTTTGCACAAAAACTCGTGATCAAAGCTAAGTACATACACAAATATCCTAATACCTATGGAAAGCCAACGGGGTCAAAATTCTTACTTCGTAACTTGTCAATTTGTAACTTTTAACTGTGTGATTTGTCAATTTGTATATTGATGTTTTGTAACTTGTCGATTCGTAAATTGTCGATTTGTAAATTGTCAATTTGTATATTGATGTTTTCAAGGATTTGTATAGTGAGACTCACTATACAAATCCTTGATGTTTTGTAACTTGTCGATTCGTAAAATGTCGATTCGTAAATTGTCAATTTGTATATTGATGTTTTGTAACTTGTCGATTCGTTAAATGTAGATTTGTAAATTGTCAATTTGTATATTGATGTTTTGTAACTTGTCGATTCGTTAAATGTCGATTTGTAAATTGTCATTGTTGTATTATGCTAACGATCATTATGACGACAGATGGCGCTCGGTTTCCTCTTCGGTGAATCAGCCTTCTGTAAGTAGGAGCACCTCCATATGGAGTAAATATATATACCTAAGTAATTTAAATCAATCATATATGTACAGCAAATGCATCTAAAAGAACACAAATAGAATAATAACATTTTTATTTGTATATGGTATGTATACAGAACATTTTGTTTTCTGAAGACGACAGGTGGCCGTATCGTTCGAGAACGGAAACTATATAAAAATACAACCCAAATCTGAATAGTTCATTCCTTCTACGTTAATCGATCTCTCCTACTTGCGAGGTTAATGGTGTAATCGTATATTAGCGAAACATAGCGACTGAATTATTCGGGTAAATAGATATAAGGAGATGTGGTAATAAACAGAATGATTTTCAATGAGACAACTATCCACCAAAGTTCAAATATAAAAGTCGATGTAAGCAATTATAGGCAACGTACGGCCTTTAACAATGAAAAAAAACCCAATCCATATAGTCGGCTATAAAAAGCTACATCAGTACGTAAAAATCCAGGTAAAAACGGTTTCTATTAATCCTAAAATGCTATTATCGGACCATTTTATTCTGACTGAGTCCTCAGGGGGAAGGGCTGACACACATGTATATATATAATATATTAATACTCATTTGTACATGCCTACTAAATTTGTTCTGGTCATGAAGCTAAGGATTGCCACAACCTGATTTTTCGTTCTATAAAAATTTACAAAACAAAAAGAACAAAATTTTCCCGATTCCCTCATTATCAACTGCTGTCGATCGGATCGTTAATTAACAGTTGACTCACGATGTTAATCAATAACGTTTGTATTATATAAGCTAAATATTTTGAAATTTGCATTTCATATGAAATTAAAAATAATTTTATGAATCATTCTAATATCCAATTGACGAAACCATGTTGTTGTATTCCGCCTGGCTCTTCTGTCGAACAGTGAGCCAGGATCCAAGGCTACCCCGTCTCACAGTTTGCCAGCTTTTTACTCTTCAAAATATTCCCTGACAGCCCTCCCCCGCAACCCCCAGCCAAAATCATGTTCAAAGATTTTCATGGGGAAATGAAATTAGGGTAAGCAGATTGGAGATAATTGCTTCGGTCATGCAAATGGCGAGATCTTCTATCTGACAAGTCAAAGCGGCAGGGTGTCACTTTGGTAAAAAGTGGGTATAGGTGTGTAATAAAAAAGAAACTGTTTCATAGTTTTACGATCATTGTCATTGACAAAATATTCAGAGGAGACAACTCCTAGTATATGTCGATCCAGTACCATGATCATTCTAGATCTGTATCTGTATCTGTAGGAATACGTTCGGGATACCAATTCTGGCTTTAATACAATGGTAGAGAGAGCGCAGATGATTTATCGACGGTGCACGCGAGCAGTTTCTAAAGCTGTCAACGCTCGGTGTGCGCACTACAGTGTCTTCAAGGAGGTTCCACTCGATTACTGTTTTTACGAAAAATGAGTTGGAATGTGGGATTTTGATCGCTGAAATCTCAAAACACTTTGTGTAGTTCTTGATCTCTTTTTCCACAATATTTATTGACTGATAATTGTCAAATTCCTTGGCAGCAATTGTTCTTTTTGGACGAGCTTTTTTTAAAATTTGTCAGGTTCTATAGCAAGAACAAGCCCCTCAACCACTTCGTACAGAAATACTAGCTTCTGGCTTAAGCGTTTTGTCTGTTTGCCTTTGGTGAGCGTGTTTGAGACGCAACCATCTTCTCTGGATTTGTAGCCTCCTCGTTATAAAACTCACAGCTTGTCGCTGTATTCTTTCAAGCTTTTTGATGTTCGTACGGGTCCCATATACTATTGCTTCATACTCCATTATTGACCAGTGAAATATATGCGGTTTTCTTGCATTCTGGTCGGCAATATCTCAAATTCCTTATCAGGAATCCTAGTCACGGTTGAGTTTGCATTCTTGGCTACGATTGAAATATGGGTAGTCCATTTAAGTTCTCGATAAGTTTTCTGGTTCCTTTAGATTTTATTACAACATATTGCATATACCAATACAGTTTTAATATATAGTATACATTAACTAAGTGACTCATTTAAAATAATACTTCATTCAATTTGTTTTGCAAAGTACATGCTATAAAACATTTTTATCTTCATTACTCGAGAGCCAAATAAATAAAGATTTTTCATCCATTTCAGTGCTTCTTGTATTAAAAAATCATTAGATATAAATTACATTCTTTTCCAATATCTTAAGATTATAATATTAAGGAATAATAGGTGTTAACCCATTTCTCCCATCATACATTTAGTCCAAAATTTGCGGCCCAGAACAATAAGTTTGAATTTTCCAGCTCAGTCTTATATTTCATGTATTTAGTCTAATTTTGACCCGGTCAAATATTAAGATGAAATTTCCTGCCAAATGAAAGTATTAATTATATTTGCGAAGTTGATAAGGGAGCCAGGAAATATAGTATATATGCCAATACACACAATTAACAGCGCCTTGATAAGGGAGCCCATTCCAGCGACACATCAGTATATACCTAAATACAGGAAGTGACATACCCCTCCCAGGTGTGGTGACCAGTACGGTAGACATACATGTTTATTCGAGGTCAACTCTATATAAAGCTGAGTCCCTGGTATATGCCATATAAACCGAACAATGTATTTATCTATTTATTTTCTTTTATTTGTATATGCTGTACATTTTTGATTTATAAAATTACTTAGGTATATACTAGGAGATGGGGCGCATGCGTGGAGGAAAGACGTTCATTTTTGACAGCTCCAATACTCACCAAAATTACAGGTTTTCTGCAAGTTCAATTTGTCCATACTTCAATATTTTTGATCCTTTTTGATAGATAACCCTCTACAAATCACTTATAGTGAATGTACATTGTATTTATCAGTTTTAACAAAATAAATCTTTTTTGTTTCTAAGGCCGCCAAAGGCGGTCACATGACAAGAACAAAAGTCACATGATCAAACCGGAAGTTGACAAAAGAAAACAAAACAAGAAAATATTCTGAACGAAAATAACAACACTCTGTTGCTTTTCCTTCATACTAACATGGCTATTTCAATTTCCTGTGCTCTTTGGTAGCCGAAGAGACGAAGATAAAGTGAACAAAGGTATATATTAAAAATTTAACATATTTTATTGTACAAAAAAAAAATGAGACTTTACTATACTTTACTGATCACCTCCTTAATATTGCTCATCTGCCATCATGCAAACTTCAAAACCATCTTTGAAAAAGAGGAGCATGAACACACACAAGATCAGAAAACACACAGCTCAATAACCAACTTAGGGAGTCTGAAATTAAAAGTTAACAAATGCAGACCAGTAAATAAATATTTATTCATAATTCTACTTGCAAATGCCTTCGATACAGAAACAAACCCAGGGCCTAGATGGCCATGCGGTACTTGTAACAAAGCAGTTACCTGGAAACATAAAGCGGTATGTTGCGACAGCTGTGATACCTGGTTCCATATTAACTGTCAAGGTATACACTCAAATATTTACAAATTTATGGATGCAAGCAACATCTCGTGGGAGTGCTTTCAATGTGGTATGCCAAATTTTTCAACATCATTATTTAACTCCACATACTCAATCGATACAGAAAATCAGTATTCTGATCTCAGTAAATGTTCAGACTTAAGCAGCCCAGGTGTACCAAATGCAACATCATCACCTATAGATTTACCGGTACATAAAAACAACAAGGGTTCACAACAGAAAAAGCAAAAATCCAAAGTAAGAAAACCAATAAGAGTAATCAACATAAATTTCCAATCACTTTGCAATAAAAAACCTGATCAATGTATACAGAAATGATAGACCAACAAACAACAAAAACCAAAGCCATGGTGGTGTTTTAATAGCTATCACCAAAGAGTTTATTAGTTCTGAAATTGTAGAACTTAAAACAGATTGTGAGATAGTATGGGCAGAAATAAACATCTCTGGCACAAAAAAGATCTGTGTTGGTAGCTTCTATAGACCCCCATCAGATAAAGGTACATCTTTGGAACAACTCAACATCTCCTTGAATAGACTAGATAATACAACAACCACAAATATATGGTTAGGAGGGGACTTTAATCTTGGACACATAGACTGGTCAATACCAGCATTCATCTTAGGCAAACCAGATGCTAAACAACATCAGCTTTTACTAGACATAATATCAAATCACCACTTGCACCAAGCCACAGACAAGCCAACACGTAAAGATAGAATATTAGATCTCATTCTAGTAAACAATCCAACTAGCATCAATAAACTTAACACACTACCACCTATTGGCTCAGCAGATCACGATATAGTTTATGTAGAAATGGACACCTGGCTTAAAAGAGTAA